TTTTTTTTTTTTTTTTTTTTGAGACAGAGCCTCAAGCTGTTGCCCTGGTAGAGTCCTGTGGAGTCACAGATCACAGCAACTTCCAACTCCTGGGCTTAAGCAATTCTCTTGCCTCAGCCTCCCAAGTAGCTAGGACTACAGGCGCCCACCACAATGCCTGACTGTTTTTTGGTTGTAATTGTCATTGTTGTTTGGCAGGCCTGAGCTGGATTCAAACCCACCGGCTCTTGTGTATGTGGCTGGTGCCTTAGCTGCTTGAACCATAGGCGCTAAGCCAATTTTTTTTTTTTAATAGAAGATCTTACTATGTTATCCTGGGTAGAGTACAATGATATCATCATAGCTTACTACAACCTTAACTACCTAGGACTATAGGCATCTGCCACTGTGTCAAGCTAATTTTTCTTTCTTTTTTTTGAGACAAGAGTCTCACTATGTTGCCCTTGGTAGAGTGCTGTGGTGTCACGGCTCACAGCAACCTCCAACTCTTGGGCTTAAGCGATTGTCTTGCCTCAGCCTCCCAAGTAGCTGGGACTATAGGCACCAGCCACAACCCCTGGCTGTTTTTTGTTACAGTTGTTATTGTTGTTTAGCCAGCCCGGGCCAGGTTTGAACCTGCCACCCTCAGTGTATGTGGCTGTTGCTGTGGCTACTGTGTTATAGGCGCCAAGCCTAATTTTTCTATTTTTAGGTGTTTTTTTTTGTTTGTTTAAGAGACAGAGTCTCACTTTGTCACCCTGGGTAGAGAGCCATGGCATCAGCTCACAGCAACCTCCAGCTCTTGGGCTTAGGTGATTCTCTTGCCTCAGCCTCCTGAGTAGCTGGGACTATAGGTGGCACCACAATGCTCAGCTATTTTTTTGTTGCAGTTTGGCGGGGGCTGGGTTTGAACTCACCACCCTCAGTTTATGGAGCTGGCTCCCACTCACTGAGCCACAGGTGCCGCCCCTAATTTTTCTATTTTTGTAGAGAAAGGATCTTGCTATTTTCCTCAGGCTGGTTTCAAACTCCAAAGCTCAAGTGATCCACCTCAGCCCCACAGTGTGCTAGGATTAGAGATGTGCACCCCTGCGCCTACCCATTGCTTCATGATCTTAGAGGAGTTGTTTGCCATGAAGTCACAGTTTGTCTTTCTTCTCAGATGTGATTCAGCATTGCCAGCGAGTCAAACCCATCATTGATCTGGTCCATAAGGTCATCAGTACAGACCTATCCATAGCAGACTGTCTTCTGCCTATCACGTCCCGCATCTACATGCTGCTGCAGCGGTGAGTCTCTTGTGATTGACTCTTGGCTGCCTGGCAGAACTCTCTGCAGTTGTTCTCTTGGTTTTCAGAAGGTGGCCACATGCCCACCAAATTAAAGTCCACACACATTCTTCTATGGGAAGCCCTGGTATTGTATTTGTCCCCAGCTGAGGGCTATCCTATGTTTTTTTTTTTTTTTTGAAACAGGGTCTCACTTTATCACCCTGATAGAGAGCTGTGGCATCATAGCTCACAGCAACCTCAAACTCTGGGCTTAAGCGATTCTCTTGTCTCAGCCTCTCAAGTAGCTGGGACTATAGGCACCCGCCACAATGCCCAGCTATTTTTTGTTGCAGATGTCGTTGTTGTTTAGCCAGCCCAGGCTAGGTTAGAACTGGTCACACCAAGGGTATGTAGCTGGTGCCATAACCATAGTGGTACGGGCACCAAGCCAGACTTCCCTGTTTTTATATCTCTCCTAAGAGGAAGGACTGAGAGGGCTTTTAATGATTTGTGATGGAACCAATTGTATGTACTTTATTTTTCTTTTTCTTTTTTTTTTTTTTTGAGACAGAGCCTCAAGCTGTCCCCCTGGGTAGAGTGCCGTGGCATCACAGCTCACAGCAACCTCCAACTCCTGGGCTCAAGCGAGTCTCCTGCCTCCGCCTCCCAAGTAGCTGGGACCACAGGCGCCCGCCACAACGCCCGGCTATTTTTTTTTGGTTGCAGCCATCATTGTTGTTTGGCGGGTCCGGGCTGGGGATTCGAACCCACCACCTTAGGTGTACGTGGCTGGCGCCTTAGCCGGTTGAGCTATAGGTGCCGAGCCTATTTTTCATTTTATTGAATACAGTACATTGTTCTCTAACCAGGTTAACAACAGTGATCTCACCTCCTGTGGATGTCATTGCTTCTTGTGTCAACTGTTTGACTGTTTTGGCTGCCAGGAATCCAGCAAAGGTGAGACACCACATCTTTCCAACAGACAAAAAAGGCAGCACTTGATATATGCCTGAAGATAATGTGGACTTAATCTTTTTTTCCTCTCAGGTCTGGACTGATCTTCGTCACACAGGTTTCTTACCATTTGTGGCACATCCTGTTTCCAACATGAGTCAGATGATTAGGTGAGCCAGGGCCTAGGGTGGGTAGAGCATATTTTCTAGAGAGAATCATATATGTTTCAGGTCTAGCCTCGCTTTACAGGTTTTAAGGAAGCTTGCCTGTCCACTTACTCTGAGTAGTCCTTACCTGATCAGCCCTCTGGCTGGAAATAGGAGAGTGAGTGAGGACAGGCTAAAGGAGATGGTGGGGTATGAGGCCCAGAGCTGCTGTCCTCTCAAGGCAGCACTGGTGGCTTGTAGTCTTTAAAGCCTGAAAGTGGGAGAGTGAGAAAAGATTTCTCATCCAGCTGCTTCCATTTTAGGTACATGGGAGTTTGCTCTATAGCTTAAAGAATATAGGAATATAGAAGTGTCTAGATCCAGAGACTTTTCCTACTCTTCTTCTTCTTTTTTTTTTTTTTTTTTTTTTTTTTTGCAATTTTTAGCCAGGGCTAGGTTTGAACCCACCACCTCCAGCATATGGGGCCAGCGTCCTACTCCTTTTAGTCATAAGCACCGCCCGACTTTTCCTGTTCTTAAATCACAGTAACTCTGTACTTTATCTTTTTTTTTTAATTTGAGACAGAGCCTCAAGGTGTCACCCTGAATAAAGTGCTATGGCATCACAGCTCACAGCAACCTCCAACTCCTGGGCTCAAGCGAGTTTCCTGACTCAGCCTCCCAAGTAGCTGGGACTACAGGCGCCCACCACAATGCCCAGCTATTTTTGGTTGCAGCCATCATTGTTGTTTGGTGGGCCCAGGCTGGATTCGAACCTGCCAGCTCAGGTGTATGTGGCTGGCACCTTAGCCACTTGAGCCACAGGAGCCGATCCTGTACTTTATCTTTCTGCATGGATGCTTGAGCTCGCCCATTCGACCACTTGGCAATACACAGGCCCCATCTTATTACCTATTTCCTCCTTGTTTTCTCTTGCTGATAAGACAAAAATGTTTCCTGATGTTCATTTGATTTTTTAATCTCTTGATGTTGTACATCAATAAAACATGATCTTAATGTTTACTCTGGGTATAAAATTGTCTGGATTTGATTAATGCTCTTGCTGAGCTTTCCTATTTTATGCTCAAATCATCTAGACTATGGGACAGCACCTGTGGCTCAAAGAGTAGGGCGCCAGCCCCATATGCTGGAGGTGGTGGGTTCAAACTCAGCCCCTGCCAAAAACTGCATTAAAAATCATCCAGACTATGACTCGTTTCTTGAAACTTGAAATTTCCTCTTTTTTTACCTCTATCTCTCTGTCTTTTCCCAGTGCGGAGGGCATGAATGCTGGAGGATATGGAAACCTTTTGATGAATAGTGAACAGCCTCAGGGCGAGTATGGGGTCACTGTTGCTTTTCTGCGTTTGATAACAACCCTTGTCAAGGTATAGTCTGATCAGATGGTTCTGAAATAGTATCTCTATCCCCTGTTGCTATAATCACTTTGTCTGTAGGCAGAACAGTTGTCTTGAAGTTATGATGCCTACAGTTTCTACACATTGAGCACCAGCTATGTGCCAGTACCTTTTTGCAGTTTTTGGCCAGGGCTGGGTTTGAACCCACTACCTCCGGCACATGGGGTCAGTGCCCTACTCTTTGAGCCACAGGCGCTGCCAAATGCCAGTATATTCTATCATGGGAGCTTTATTATGTGAATTTATTTATTTATTTATTTATTTATTTTTGGAGACAGAGCCTCAAGCTGTTGCCCTGGGTAGAGTACTGTGGCATCACAGCTCACAGCAATCTCCAACTCCTGGGCTCAAGCAAGTCTCCTGCCTCAGCCTCCCAAGTAGCTGGGACCACAGGTGCCCACCACAACACCTGGCTATTTTTTGGTTGCAGCCCGCATTGTTATTTGGTGGGCCCAGGCTGGATTCGAACCCGCCACCTTAGGTGTATGTGGCTGGCGCCTTAGCCACTTTGAGCCATAGGCACCGAGCCTATTATGTGAATTTATTTAATGCTCAGGAAGTTTATGAGTTAGAGCTGAAGAGACCATATAGGTAATGCAGTGGCCATCAAGCTATTTACATGGTAGCCCAAGGTAATAGGTACATTGTTTATTATTTCCCAGTATATGTGTGTGTGTATATATGTACTTCTAAATCAAAATTTCACAGTGTACCGTTTACTGTTACTACACAGGATGCCCTGTGACATTTTCTGTTTAGTCCCCTATAACTTTGTTTTTATTTTTTAATTTTAATTTTTTGGGGACAGAGTCTCACTCTTTTTCCTGGGGAGAATGCTGTGGTGTCTTCATAGCTCATAGCAACCTCAAATTCTTGGGCTTAAATCATCTCTTGCCTCAGCCTCCTGAGTAGCTGGGACTATGCCTGGCTAGTTTTTCTATTTTTGATAGAGATGGTATCTTTCTCTTGCTCAGGCTGGTCTCAAAGTCCTGAGTTCAAACAGTACACCCACCTCAACCTCTCAGAGTGCTAAGATTATAGGCATGAGCCACTATGCCTGGCCCCTTCCACCTTTTTTTAAGAGAATTGTGACCATAAGCTGATCTCTTAATCCATTAATGGATCACAACTCAGTTTGAAAAATACTTCATATGAGTTAGGAGTATAGATTTTGGAGTCAGATAAAATTTGGTTTATATTTCAGGTTGACCACTTAACTAGCTGGCAAGTACAAAATTTCTCGGAATCTCTACAAAATAAGAGTGATATGTGGTGTCTGTCTTGTCAGGTTGAGAGTCTTATGTCCAAAGCACTTGGTCTATTTCCTGATTGTAGGAATTATTGATTGCTTTAAAAGATAGAAGCAGTGTATACAGAGTTAGGGATATAAATTTAGATATTTATATGCAAATGAAGAGTCCCTATTTTAAAGATAAGAAAACTGAAGTTGGAGGGAGGGGGTTTGGAGGGATCACTTCTCAGGTTTATCTTATGGGGTACAGGTGAATCTTTCTAAGAGTAGAATGTGAACGTTTTAAAGCAATAACAGAAAATGACATGAAGGCTGTGTTGACCAGTTTGATGGAAGTATTTCAGATTGCATGTGAAAACCCCACACTGTACCCCAGAAGTGCATTAATGTACATAGTTACCATTCAATAAAAAAAAAGGGGGGGGGGAGAAAACTGAAGTTAACAAGTATTATCAGGACAAAACATTTTAGGCACCAGATCTCCTTTTTCATATTTCAGTGATGGGGTTGAGGTTAGGGATGGCTGGTGACCATGACAGAGAAGCTGGCATTCTTCATCACTGTTAATCTTATAACCTTTATATTTAAGGTATCTCCCTTCTGGGACGGCCCCTGTGGCTCAGTGAGTAGGGCGCTGGCCCCATATACCGAGGATGGCGGGTTCAAACACAGCCCCAGCTAAACTGCAACCAAAAAATAGCCGGGCATTGTGGCAGGCACCTGTAGTCGCAGCTATTCGGGAGGCACAGGCAAGAGAATCACCTAAGCCCAAGAGCTGGGTGTTGCTATGAGCTATGACGCCATGGCACTCTACTGAGGGTGACAAAGTGAGACTTTGTCTCTCCAAAAACAAAAAAAAAAGTATCTCTCTTCTGTCCAGATTTAGCCTTCATCACTTCTTCATGTTAGCACCTTTTGTGCTTTTGTGACATTCTCATATCTCTTTTTAGTCACTTTTTTTTATTCTAAAGAAACCCACAACTTGGGCTTATGTTTTGGTTTTTCAATGATGGCCAAAGCTTGCCCAGAATTCCTTTGGACCCACCCATGGGTTTTGGAGTTAAGTCTTCAGTAACTAGATGACTTTTCCTAATTGTCAGAAGCCCTCACAGCATAGTTTCTTTTAGGGGCAGCTTGGTAGTACGCAGAGCCAAGGACTTGTGCCCTGTGTAATGTTCGTGCTAAAGGAGATGCTTCCCAGCTACCACAAGTGGCGCTACAACTCTCATGGTGTGAGGGAACAAATAGGTAAGGACAGCATGGGCAGAGAAGACCTGGGAATTTCTAGGTTCCTGAAGATCTTTCTCTCCCTTTCTTGGGACTAGGGATATCACACAAGGCCACATTATTCCTTTGTCTTTTGGGCGGTCCAGGTTGCCTGATCCTGGAGCTCATTCACGCGATACTGAACCTGTGCCACGAGACAGACCTGCACAGCAGGTAATGAGGGGGACGATTGTTAGAGCTCAGTGCTCACCAAGGGAGATAATGGACTTTTGCTATGCAAAGCCCTCTCATTTCTTCCAGAGAACTCACCTTGGTTGAGCCGAGAGCTCTGATATCTTGAGATTGTGAGTTAGTTTCCACTGACCTATTTATCTTTGCTCCCTGTGAAGAGAAGAGAAATAAAGTGGAAACGAGATTGTGTGTGCGTGTGTGCATGTGTGTATTTGTGTATGCTTATATATTAATCATTTTTTATGGTCTTTCCAAAAGTATGCACATTATTTGGAAAATATTCAGTGCAAAATGTCCCCATATATCTCCTTCCCTCAGGTGATGTTAACATTAACATGTTCTAGGTTTTTTTCTCTGCCTGTAGTAACTGTTCTGTAACTTTCTTTCCATGCCATTGAGTACAGATCTGTTTTGTTTTTCTGGTTCTGTGTAATCCATTATATGGATTAATCATAATTCATTTCATTAACTATATCTCTGTTTCGTTTTACTGGTTCTGTATAATCCATTATATGGATTAATCATAATTCATTTCATTAACTATATTAATTGGTGTACATTTAAATTGCTTCTCAAGGTTATCTTTAGGATCAAGTCTATTTCAGAAAAATGATCAGAGTATCTTCAGCTTGCAGAGAGTTGATCTGTATCACCAGTAGCCAGTTTGTTAAGTTTGCCACCCTAGCCCAGCTGGATAGTGCCTTTTCCTTCCAATGATAAACTTGGCAGCTCCCTAGTAACTCTGAACATCTATTCTTCCAGCCACACTCCCAGCCTACAGTCTCTCTGCATCTGCAGTCTGGCCTACACAGAAGCAGGACAGACAGTTATTAATATCATGGGCATTGGCGTGGACACTATTGACATGGTGATGGCAGCTCAACCCCGAAGGTAGGGCTCCTTCTTCATCTGCCCTCTGTCTTTATGGTGCCTATGTGTTCTAAGAACTCTAGTTGACATTAACTTGCAGAAGGTTTCTTAGACAACCTGTTCTTCTTAGGACACAGCTAGGTTAGGTTGTTATCTAACCTAGTGGCTGCTAAATAGACTGACACATAGCAAAGGGAGTTGATTACTCCTCCTCTCTCCTAGTTTGGAATGGGACCTCTAACAGAGGCTGTTGAACTCTGGAATTATTGTTGTTATCTAATTCATGAGAGCACCTATGTTGCAAGTGAAGTCATGTTGTCTCAATCAACTTTGGTTTCCATTTGGCACCCTAGTGATGGGGCAGAGGGCCAGGGCCAAGGCCAGCTGCTCATCAAGACAGTGAAACTGGCATTCTCCGTCACCAACAATGTTATTCGGCTGAAACCCCCTTCTAATGTGGTGTCCCCCCTGGAACAGGCTCTCACACAACATGGTATGTATTTCTCTCCAATCAGTTGCAACGTTTCTGCCCATAAATATGTATTTTAGGCCATGTTTTTGGATATCAACAGTATTTTCTGATTAACTTTTTGAGGAAATTTGGGGATGATTATCAGCCCATTTCCTGGTTTTGGAAATAAAAGTACTGGATCATACTTTATTTCTGCCTCCTATTGATGATAGAAAAGTAGCTAAGGGGCGGCACTTGAGGCTCAGTGAGTAGGGCGCCAGCCCCATATACCAAGGGTGGCCAGTTCAAACCCGGCCCCGACCAAACTGCAACAAAAAAATAGCTGGGCGTTGTGGCAGGTGCCTGTAGTCCTACCTACTCAGGAGGCTGAAGCAGAATCGCCTACGCCCAAGAGCTGGAGGTTGCTGTGAGCTGTGACACGACAGCACTCTACCAAGGGCAATAAAGTGAGACTCTGTCTCTAAAAAAAATAATAATTTAACAAAAAAAAAGGAAAGAAAAGTAGTTAAGAACACAGGTTTGAAATCAGATAGCCTTGGCTGGGCATTAGTGGCTCATGCCTGTAATCCTAGCACTCTGGGAGGCTGAGGAGGGTGGATGGCCTGGAGCTCAGAAGTTCGAGACCAGCCTGAGCCAGAGTGAGACCCCCATCTCTGCAACAAAAAGCCAGGCATTGTGGTGGGTGCCTGTAGTCCCAGCTACTTGGGAGGCTAAGGCAAGAGAATTGCTCCAGCCTAAGAGTTGGAGGTTGCTATGAGCTATGATGCTATGACACTCTACTGAGGGCCACAAAGTGAGACTTTGTATAAATAAATGAAAAAAGAAAATTAACAAAAAGCTTTAAACTAAACTAATTGTAAGTAAAATTAAAAAAAAATTAAAAATGAATCAGACAGCTTTGGTTCAAATTTTGGCTGTAACCTCTGTGACCTCAGGCACATTATTAAACAATTATCCCTTAGATTTCTTATCTGTAAAATGGGGATAATAGTACAGGTTGAGAATTCCTTATCTGAAATGCTTGGGACCAACTGCGTTTCAGATTTCAGGGGTGTTTTTTTTTTGGATTTTGGAATATTTGAATTATACTTACTGGCTTAGCATCCCTAGTCCCCAAATCCCATGAGCTCCAGTGAACATTTCCTTTAAGCTGTAGCTTTAGATTTTGGACTTTTGGATTAGGTATGCTTAGCCTGTAATGTTTAGTTTATAAGATTACCATGAAGATTAGACAAATGACTACATTTAAAATATATAGAGATACTATTGATACTTATTAAGTATTGGTTATTACACTGTGACCTTTAATTATTCAATTTCTTTGTGATGCAGTTTCCTCATATTCTTTTTTTTTTTTTTTTTTTTTTTTTGAGACAGAGCCTCAAGCTGTCCCCCTGGGTAGAGTGCCATGGCATTACAGCTCACAGCAACCTCCA